AACATAATTAGTGTTTATGAGAGAGCATCGGGACAAAAGATTAATTTTGAGAAATCTGAGGTTGCTTTTAGCAAGAGTGTGGAACAGGGACGACGTGATGACATTTTGGCTATCTTGGATGTTCGAGAGGTCGATAAACATGAAAAATACCTTGGGTTGCCGGCAATTATTGGGAGGTCGAAGAGAGTGGTGTTTAATTGCATTAAAGAGAGGATTTGGAAGAAAATGCAAGGGTGGAAGGGGAAACTCTTGTCACAAGCGGGTCGCGAGGTGTTGATCAAATCGGTAGCTCAAGCAATACCGACATATATGATGGGTGTATTTAGAATTCCTGATGGGATTTTGGATGAAATTCACTCAATGTTTGCCCGGTTTTGGTGGGGTTCGAATGGGGATAGGAGGAAGATGCATTGGCTAAGTTGGGAGAAGCTATGTCTCCCTAAATCTCTTGGGGGGATGGGTTTTCGGGACCTAAAAATTTTTAACCAAGCACTACTTGCCAAGCAAGGTTGGAGGTTGCTTTGTGACACTAATTCCCTGGCACACCATATTTTGAAAGCGCGGTATTTTAAAAATGGTGATTTTGTTTCTTCTCTGAGAGGCCATGACCCAAGCTATGTATGGAGAAGCATTTGGGGAGCAAAATCTCTTCTTTTAGAGGGGTTGAAGTGGAGGGTGGGTAATGGTGAGAGTATTAGTGTTTGGGACGATGTGTGGCTGCCGGGAAGCTATTCCATGGCGGTTCATAATCCTAATTTGGAGAGTACAGAGCCTATGAGGCTATCGGATTTAATGCACAATGATAGGGGTGAATGGGACTGGGATCAGATCCGGCTGCACTTAAGTGAGGGGGATGCTAACCGTATTGGTGGGATCCCTCTCAGCTCTAGACGCCCAGAAGACATCCGTTACTGGTGGCTTGCAGATGATGGTAATTACACCACCAAGTTAGGGTACTGGCTAGGACAGTTAGGCCATGTTCGAGGGTGGGAGGAACGTTTTGGGGGAGAAGGTGAAGAGGTTTGGAGGACGGTGTGGAGCATGGAAGGCCTTCCGAAGCTGCGCCAGTTTCTCTGGAGAGCCTGTTCTGGATCTTTAGCTTCTCTGGAGAGATTGTACAATAGGCATATTCGTGATGAGAATAGATGCTCTTTATGCAATGCTGGCCCTGAAACCATCTGCCACGCAATCATTGGATGCCCCAATGTCGAGCAAATCTGGAGCTGCTCTCCTTTCAAGGATATTTTGAAGGATGCACCACTTACATCCTTTGCTGAGCTTCTTCTATGGATGAAATCGAAGATTGACAAGAGTGATTTGTGCAAATTTGCAGCTATTGCATGGGCAGCGTGGGCATATAGAAATTCAGTTGTGTTTGATCAACCGTGGAGCTGTTGTGTGGTGAGTACTATGGGCTATGTTAAGCTGGTGGAAGATTATAAATTGTACAATGCTGCTACAGGGGGTTTGATTACGCGTAGAGAGGTGGGATCACGTAGCTCGTGGCAAAAACCAAGGGCTGGGTGGATGCGGGTTAACACGGATGTGGCTATGTTATCGGAGTTTATGATTGGACTGGGGGTTGTAGCGCGCAACAATGAGGGGAAGATTATGGCAGCAGGTGTATGCCGTGTTGCTGGTGGTTTGTCGGTGAAGGAAGGGGAAGCAATGGCAGCAAGGTTTGGGGTTGATATGGCAAAGACACTGGGGTACCACAATGTGGAACTGGAATGTGACGCTAGTGGAGTGGTTAAGTTGATCAAGCAGGCAGCAGGTGGAAGGGCTCCTCTCGACCTTATAATTGATGATGTTCGCGATGTTGGCAAGAGTTTTGATGCCTTCAATTTCTATCATGTTAAGAGATGTGGGAATACAGTGGCACATTTAGCAGCTAGATTAGAGCCTAGTAATGGTTATGATCAGATTTTCCTGGACTATATTCCGCAAGGTTTTCTAGCCTTGGCGGATATCGATGTTATGTAATTTTTGCTATATTAATAAAATGCCACTACCCCGTTTCTTTCAAAAAAAAAACAGAGCATTATAACACAACAATGTATTGATGATAAAAATTACAAAATTATGATGGTAATTACTCACATTGTTGATGAACAAACGAATCAATCAATCGAACTCTAGAAGATGGAAACACACTTTCGTAATCACGATCGAAATTAGCAGAGGAAGAATCAGCCATTGATGATCAACAACAATTATCAAAATCGTAGGAAAAATAAACTGCAAAATTATTATAAAATCAAATGAAGAAGATCAATTAACCAGAGAGAATGTAGGTACAAAAATGGAAATTGATCAATTGAGGAGAGAGAAAATATTGGGTTTAAAATCATTTATATACATAGCTTGAATAATAAGAAACAAGGAAATAATTAAAAAATTAAAAAAAAGGAAAGAATTGAAGCATGAAGTAGCTCGTGAGTATTCCCCGCAAGCTACAAAACGACGTAGCATCAGGGGGTGTAGGTAGACCATCCTACACTAGGATGTAGGGTATAATTTTCACATAATTTGTAGCCTGCTTTAATATTCACTTTCATTGTTGAACCACAATCACATTTATGAAAATTAAAAAAAAAACAATTTTGTTAAATTTGATAAATTGATCATACATAATAACATAAAGAGTCTTAAAATATGCATACATATATAGTGGAATGAAAAATAGAAAGGAACTTACTATTTCAATAGGGTCAGTTTATAAACAATTAACTTCGCTTTATAAAAAAACATTAATCTTTCATTAAAAAATAATAATAATAATAATAATAATAATAATAATAATAATAATAATAATAATAATAAAAAACTAATTTTAGGCTTAACATCCCCATATTTACATTTTTAAAACGAACTGAAGTGACACTTTGTAGGTTAGATGACACTTTATTTTTCCACACAATTTTTTTTTAAAATAAAAGTGTACTTTTTTTTTTTTTTTTGTTTTGTTTTGTAAAGGCATGATCAATTTTCATGTATAAAGTTAGTTTGAAAATTAAGATCTTTGTAAAGGCATGAGATTATTATAATTATTATTATTTTGTTAAATATTCTAAAAAAAAAAGGAATGTGTCCTTCCGGATTCCTACTTTAAAATAATAGTACAGATGTGTAATGGAATTTAATTTTGTTTTAATAGGATATTATACTTCCTTCGTTTCTATTTATACATTGTTTGGATAGAAAGAAGGGAAGCGAAAGAGAGGGGGACAAACTCTCTTGTTTGGGTAAAGGATTGAGGGAAGGAAGGAAAAGGAGAGGGAGGGATCTATTTTTCCTCTTTCTTTAATAAGTATAAGAGCACCAACATTCAAGAGAAAGCTAGAATCATTTCCCAATTTCTCTCTCCTTTCCTCCACTTGACACATCACACTCTCTTTCTTTCACATCACTTCCTACTATCTCCATCCTTTTACTTATCCTCTTTCTTAAATATTTCCAACATCAATGAGTATCCTTTCCCATTTACTCTCTCCTATTTACATATACCCCACCATATATTCTCTCTCTTATTTACACACTTAATTATTATTAAAGTTTGTAAAATATGTTTATTATTACTACTATTATTATTATTAAAATTTGCCAATTACTACCGCAAGTTAATACTACTTTGTAAATTACTACCGCAAATTAAAAAAAGTTGTGAATTACTACCGCAAAAAATTTTAAGATATTGCGATTACTACCAAACCTCCATTAAACCCAACTATGACGTCATTATATCACTTTAACCCATGGTTAAAGCCCTTAACCATGACGTCATTATATCCCTAATCCATTTTCTTTTTTTTTTTGGGGGGGGGGGGAGGGGCTGGTTAAAGCCCTTAACCATGGTCAAACACGGGTTAAAGGGATATAATGACGCCAAAGTTGGGTTTAATGGGGGTTTGGTAGTAATCGCAACATCTTAAAATTTTTTGCGGTAGTAATCCACAACTTTTTTAATTTGCGGTAGTAATTTACAAAGTGGTATTAACTCGCGGTAGTAATTGGAAAATTATTATTATTATTATTATTATTATTATTATTATTATTATTATTATTATTATTATTATTATTATTATAAAAATTGCAAAAAGCCTACAAAGTCAATAAATTTACAAGAAATTGGTGGGGAGCCGAGATACAATCTGGGCCCCCACCCCTCTAAGATGTGAGCAGCTGCACGAGCACCAATATCTTGAGCCTTAGCAAACGCCTGAACCCGCTTCAGCAACGCAATAACATCCTTCTCTAATTCCCCCAACGAAGAAAAGGAGAAAGGAAGAAAACCATAGTCAATAGCTCTGCAACGCGCCCCATACTTGTCCCGCTTCCGCTGAGCCGCTGCCGACACAACACGACCAGAAACGAAGTCAGACAACCCCAATTGCGTTGAAGGTGAATACCCCGTCAAGTCAACACATACATCAAGGCCTCTATCCCAGGAATAAAGCAACACATCTGCTGGTCGAAGAGCCCCGTCGTTCCCTCCAGTCAACCCAACGTTAACCTCCTTTCGAGCAGAAATCCCATACCGAAAACATATATCAACCAGGGTGTCACGAATAATGTTATGCCGATGCTTAATACCCACAATCCTAACACAAGACATTGCATGATCCCATAAATATCCCCATCAAAAACCCTTGAGCAAGCAGAACACGGTCTTGAAAACGGAGAACAATGGAACACCCAACCGGTAGCAAAGGACACTACGGTAAGTTTTACCATTCATAGTCTGTCCCGATATTATTATTATTATTATTATTATTATTATTATTATTATTATTATTATTATTATTATTATTATTATTATTATTATTATTATTATTATTATTAATCGAACAAAAATACATCAACTATTACAATTTCACATTAATATTAAAAATTAGTAAAATACGAAATATATGAATTAAAAGACATAAATTAAAAATATGATATACATGGAAGAAAATAAGCAACGAGAATAACACACACAATTCAAAATTATTAAAATGCTAATTTTCAACCGAGCTCCTTGATTTTTCCCATAAACGCTCAACCAAGTCGTTCTTTAATCCCTCATGAACTTGTCTATCACGAATCTCCCCTCTTGAAGCTATCAATCTACAAAAATTATCAGGATCATACGGCCCAGGAGTTACGGTAAATATTGTTGCAATTCTGGTTGAGGACAACCCTGACATATTTTCAGGCTGTTCTTGGGCGAATTCAAGTGGATCTTTATAGTTAAAATATGTATCACGCTCGTCTTCAACTATCATGTTGTGGATGATGATGCAAGTCATCATGATTTTCCACATCAACTTTACACTCCATGCCAAAGCAGGCTTCCTAATTATTGCAAACCGAGCTTGTAACACCCCAAATGCACACTCAACATCCTTTCTAGCACTCTCTTGACGTGTAGTGAACAATTTATCCTTTAAGGTTTGTGCGGCTGCAATAACGTCTATGAATGTCGACCATTTTGGATAAATCCCATCTATGAGATAATACCCTTTGTTGTAGTTATCTCTGCTAACAATGAACAGAACTTGTGGAGCACGATTATTTATTATATCATCAAACACCGGATAATGTTGAAGTACATTAATGTCGTTGCAGGATCCAGGCGTCCCACAGCAGGCGTGCCAAATCCATAAATCCCTGGAAGCAATCACTTGTAAAATAACAGTCGTCATTTTAGATCTTCCTTGATACATTCCTTTCCATCCAGTTGGACAATTTTTCCAGACCCAATGCATGCAATCAATGTTGCCCATCATGCCAGGGAAACCTCTATCCTCCCCTTCTCTAAGGAAGCGTTGGATATCTTCCAATGTTGGCTTGCGAAGGTACTCAATTGCAAATTGAGCAATTACTCCATCGACAAACTGTGCAAGACATTCTCTAGCAGTGCTTTCACCGAGCTTCAGATACTCATCTACTTGATCAGCAGAACAACCATAAGCTAACGTACTTTTGAGCAATTCTGAAGGGGTGAAGCACCAAGACGCATGGTCGCATCTGGGTGTTGTAGGAAGTAACGGTTAGTTGCACTTAATGTGTTGACGATGCGAAGGAAAAGGGCTCTTCGCATTCGAAACCTCCTTCGAAATGTGGTTTCATCGTATACTGGTTAGTGCATAAGTAATCTGAAACTAAATTGTTGTGAGCTGCTTCACGATTTCTCGGCACATTTATTCTTCGTTCTTTTTGTTCATTTTGCTGTAATGAATTGTTTACAGCTACAAGTACTGCATTTTGCATTACTTGTAATCTATGACTCTCGTTGATAAAATTCATGACCATTTGATCATAGATTTCACCAGTTAAACTTGAAGATGAAGAAGAAGAACTTGAAGAGTTTGAATCGAAATTCATATTATGTTTATTACCAAACAATATTTGAAATAGAAGGTTTTGGGTTTTTTTTTTTTTTTTTTTTTTTTTTTTTAAATGCTAAGGAGAACATAAGGTTGATATTAATAGATGTAATGTTATTGGGAGTAATTTTATGAATTTTATAGATAGAAAATGGGATAAGGTTAGTCAGAAGATAAGATTTCTGATAAGGCTATGTGGTCATAAAACAAAGGATGTCAAAAGATAAGATTTTGGTTAGATGAAATGTCATGGGAGCAATCTGATAAATTATCTAGACAAAAAAAAAAACGATAAGGTTAGTTAGAATATAAGATTTCTAATAATGATATGTGGTCATAAAGTAAAGAATGTCAGAAGATAATAAGATTATTAGGCAAATGTTAGATTTTTGTTAGATGAAATGTTATAATTCAACTTCACCAAGAACGGGCTTCTACATTAACCTTTTGCAATAAACAAAACATCTTGTTGTTAGTTGCGTAATAATCTTTGTCAGCAAATTTCTCCAAATTTTTGCTCGGACTCACCACTACCCTTGGTTTGATAATAATACCCATATGCATTTACCCATTTACTACAATGTAAATTGATATGATCCCATCGATTTTTGCATAGATTTAATGTTTCTTACCTTTATTTCATCGGGGTTTTCTATTCTAAAACGTTCTAACGGTTATAGATGTCAACCCATAACCCACTTCTCTTTGTCTTGGATCCTCTCACTACGTCACCCCCTGTATTTATGTAGGCCGATACAAGTGCTTTGTCTTCAGCTATGCTCCATGACTGGTTTTTCCTTTGCCCGGTGGTGTTGACAACAATTTCGACATCAACATCGTCAATGTCTTCTTGATGTTGCGCCCCCACTAATTGTTCCACATGTTCATCACCACTCTCCTCTATTGGAGTTGCATTGCTACCACCAAAACCTCACGGTGATTGATCCATGTTATGAGTGAAATGTTCATAAATGGGAAAACCCGACATATTACCAAGAGATTGTTGAGATGACGAGCTACTTTAAGGAAAAGGGAAAGAAGTAGGGGTGGCAATATCATCCAAACCCGATGAATAACCATCCACCAGATCCAAATATATGGATGAAAACCCGAACTTAAGCGAATGACAGATGAATGATGGGGGATCGAGTGACGGATCGGGTCGGACACGGATGATGACACATCAAACCCATCACCCGATCCATCACTCGACCCATCCATCCACCCGTTAAATTTATATATAAAAAAATAAAAATAAATACCTTTTTTTAATAATTTAATGTCTATTGTAGTGTTAGGAATTTACATTTGTTTTAATTTAGTAAAAAAGGAACAAGTATTAGAAAGATGTATCAAAGTTTTAATAAAATTGATCACTTTTTTTTTCAAATCTTGATTATAATTATGAAAATAAAAAGTTTTACTTATATATTTATTTCACCCGAATTATCACCCGATCCACCCGATTCATCCATGGTTGACAGATGGATCGGATGTGGATGAAAAAAAATTAGGTGATGGATGGGTCGGGTGATGGATGGATCGTTGGTGGATGGAGGCGGATGAAGCATCACCCGACCCACCTCCGATCCATTGCCATCTCTAGAAAGAAGGTTGACATTGTGGAATTGACATTTATTGGTCTTGATTGATTATTAAACCATTGCAAAGCAGCTTGAAAATGAGGATTACTCAATGAATTTGGGTCAAAAGGAGGATTATTTTGATTATATTGATAGTTTGGATTATTTGGAAAATTCATATTATTCCCGTAATTTGAACTATTACGATCCATATTGAAGGGTTTTCTAAATTGGAAGTGATATGTTGGTAAGAAAAAAAGAAACTAGCAGTAGAAGTGTTATGGAGAAAAAATGACTTGGAGATATGGAACTAATATGAATTGGAAATATGGAGAGTAATTTCTAACTGAAAATAAAAGTTTGTGAAAATATGGACAAATTATACTCATTTTAAAGAGAAAAAAAATTTAATGACCGTTGTGTTTTTAGTTTTCCCAAATAAGTTACCGTTTACATATTATAGCCGTTATACAAAATTGATGCAAAAGAAATTCAAATGCAATAATATCATGACACGGCAACTTCAATTTACCATTGCAATGCAATGAATTCACATGCCTCAGCTAAGTTACCGTTGCAATGTAAAATTCGTTCACTTTTTGTCAAAAAAAGGACCCACTTTTTGTCTTTACTTGCTCAATCTTTCGCTTGGGCCGAGGAAGTTATCTTTTCCATCTTTTTGTGGATCAAAAATGGTTAACCCAATAGGCTCACGAGGACGTTTTTCCAAAGTGAGCCAATTTTGGCAAATATTAACCAAAATGGTTGCGTGGCAAAAGTATTTACCAAACTAAGCTTCCAGGCTAAAACGCTGTCTCGGTCAGCATTTTATGCCTGGGTTTTTTTTTTAAAAAAAATCAACCTAAAAACGCTGTCTGGGACAGCGTCTTTGTTGTTGACCTTTTTTTTAAAATTTTTGTAATTGCCTTTTATTTATAAAAATGTTTTTAAAAAACAAAAACAGTTATACCAAATACGCTGTCCCAGACAGCGTTTAACTCTGGAACTATAAACGTTGTCTCAGACAACGTTTAAGGTTATTAATGAAACGCTGTCTGAGACAGCGTTTCTGTCGTTTTTTTTTCCCTCCAACAGCGTATTTCATTTCATTTCCTCCTCCTTCATTCTCAAACCCCTTCTTTCCCAAACTCTAACTTAATCCCCCTCTCTCTCATACTTGTGCTCCTCCTTGTAGACCGCCGCCGGCGCCGCCACCTCCACCGTCGCCCGCCGTCACCTCCACCGTCGCCCTCCGTGTAGCCCACTATACACTCCCCTCACCCTGAAATAGGTATTCATTCAACTTTCTTTGTGTTTTAAATTCTAGGGTTTATGTTGGTGATTTCTAATTTTTTTGGAATTGGGTTAAAATGTTGATGAGGTTGAGTTGTTAGTGTTAAAAATGTTGAATTGTTAGTGTTGGTATTGTTGAATTATTAGTGTTGGTAATTGTTGAATTGTTAGTGTTGATAATGGTAGTGTTGATATTGTTAGTGTTGATAATAGTTTGGATAATGTTGAATTGTTGTTGTTGGTTTTGTTGAAAATTGTTGACAATGGTTGATAATTATTAGGTTTTGAACAATTGTAATTACCTACATTGTTGTGTAATAATGGTGATTTAGGGGTTCTTAGTAGTTAATTTGTAGAGTATGTAAAATTTTTTTGTTTGATTGTGGTGATTTAGGGATGATTTAACGGCTTTACGTAAAATGTGTTTTGGTTGTTATGTAGAATATGGCTGGACAAAATGTAGCGTTGTTATGTCGATGGGGAGGTGAAATTTTGTGTAATGGATCAAATGTGGAGTACAGTGGAAACAGTGCCTATATGTACCCAACAAAGTACTCGGGCAGAACAACAAGCTATATATGTCTCTGATTACAACACCGCGTCCTTCCAAGAGCCCGCAAACCACATTCCATCGAATGCATATGGGATGGGTTCTTTCACTCGAATGATGCAGGACGACCAATTTCACTTGCCTTTTAGTTCTCATATAGCTTCACCGGTACATGCGGGGGGACGCGTGACAGTGTTCGGCCAGCCTGCTCTGCCGTCATCGAACACCGTGGCATCTTCGCCGATGCAATTGCATAGCTACTCTCCTATGCAAGGTTTGATGATGTTGTGAATAATGAATTGTCGGTGTATGATGTGTATGCGGAAATGGATGATGAGGACGAGAACGGAGAGGGGGATGATGAACCTACACAGCTGGGGTAGTGCCTCTTTGGCGGTGTTGTATCGCCAACTTTGCAGAGCCTCGCGGAGTGGTGCGCTCGAGATTGGAGGACCTCTGTTTGAGCTTCAGGTATACTACGAATATTATCACAAGCGAATTATGCAATGAGTAATGTCATATTTATCATAGTTTTGTGTTTTGCTATTGAAGCTATGGGCTTGGGAGCACATCCACGTAGGAAGACCAGGTAGGCCTGCTGTACATCGTCCGGGGCAGCAGGACCAGGATGACCAGTATGAGCCGTACATCGCTCCGCCTCGCCTTGCAGCTGATGAGGCTTACGGTTGCAGGTTTGTAACAATTGTCATTTTTTTTCCCATATACGATTTCATTTTGTAAACATACTTACCAAATTTTTTGCCCCAGGTGGATGGTCCCCAAACTCACACAGGCACATGCGGCGACGGGCCTCCCATACTACCGAGACGCCCTTGATCGACTCACTGAGGATCAGGTACAAACTCTGAAGACATTTGTAATCATTTAGGTACTGTGTATACTGATTGTGGACTAACTTATTTAGGATGTGTTATTGCAGATCACATGGGATCCGTATGTACCGGAGTTGGTAGATGCCATGCCTGCACATCTACTAGAGCATTAGGGAGAGTGGCGTGCCCGGGTCCCGCTGATCTGTTTCGAGGTTGTGGAGAGTCACCTACCTGACCGCGTCATGCGACAGTTCGGACTGCAGCAGCCTATTCCCCAGAACTGTGACACTGTCGTGCGCCTTCACGACATTGACCGTCGGGGAAATACGGAGACAAACTGGGCACTGGAGCATTGGCAGTATCTTCAGCTATGGGAGCAGCGGTTGGGTCATGTCGTTCAGGGTTATCCCATGCAGGGCGTTATGGATCATGACGATCCGTACATGGTGTGGTACAGGCTTATCACACGCCGTTTCATCAACCCCAGCTACACACCACCGTCCACCCATTACCACCCGGCACATGACGTCATTAGCGGATATGTGAGTTTCTTTTACTATACTTATCATCCTCATTTTTTAACTTTTTTAAATATCATGTACTTGACTGATCGATGATTACTACA